GAGAGAGAGAGAGAGAGAGAGAGAGAGAGAGAGAGAGAGAGAGAGTTGGTTGTGTGGACATGGGTTTGCAGTTTCTTATCTCTTCCCCTCTCTTATGTGTACATAAATTTTGATTGGGCGACTGCCCCCTATCCTTCGATTCGATATCTCTGTTTTGGTTTTCGCCTGAATTGGCAGATCCTGCATTTCCTTCTCTTTTGATTGCCTTTTTGTCGACATGGATGAATGGATGGAATGCGCATCGTTTCCTCTCGCCCCTCACTAATGTATGGGATTAGTTGCTCACAACCTCGTGAAGTTTTGATTGCATCGTGATGTGTAGATGGTACGAGTTGCCCGCTATCATTAGGCTGGATGTATGTGCAGATTGTCGTTTTGAGTTCGTAATCGACGTCATCATCCCGACCCAAAAATTACGTCGAGCATACCCGAGAACCCATGACTGAGAACCACACGCAACGATGACACGGTCCTCAGGCTCTAGCTCATCTTGGGATAGGGAATACTTTGAGCCCTGGATTCAGGAATCCCACCGGGAGTACTATTGCACGCGAGGAGCGTATCCGGAATTCCCGAATTACACGAGAAACCAAGTGTGCGAGCGGGAATTCCACCGCGCGATAACCAATGATCCATGCGGAGCAGACTATCCCGAACCGGATTACACACAATATTACACCTCTCCCGGATTCGTGGTTGTCGCCACTAATTACCCTCCCTTCCGTGTTCTCCTCCCATATCACCAGCTCACAGTGGTGCCCTTGCGGGTCATAGCCGCGTATTGGCCTGAACCGTGCAGGGAGTGTTTACTCAGGCGCCACCCGCGTGCTCCTCGCTTTGACCAGTGCGCCCATAACCCGCAGCGTGGTCAACGATCGACCCCCTTTCGAGTCCCCAGGCAGGACGCGCGGCAGTCCCCCGCACCCCGGTGATCCCCATCAAACCCGAAGCGGTGAGATAGGTGGTAATTGCGTGTTTGCCCTGCTCTACTGCAGTATTGTACCCACGACCCTCGAGCTCGGTCACAGAAGATCCCAATTCCGACCTGGGACTTCAACCCCCACTTTCCCAAAAATCCTTGGCACACCCCTCTTCGCACTTCCAGGCCCCCATCCCACTTCGATCAGGAAGTCGCGTCGGGCGTGAGGTTGGTATCGGAGCCCGACACGTGGCTAAGCGATAAGGGTGTGTGGACTCAATACTGGCTAAGGCGAGGCGATCTGGCTCCACGTAGGCGCCCTCCAGCTGGTAATATACGTCGACATAGTCCTGTAGCTACACGAAGCCGAACATCCGCCACAAGGCGAGCAGGCGCAATGGCTGCGGCCGCTGCGGCGGTCATCCCCAATCAACCGCCTAACCCGCCTGCGCGAACCCCTGTGGCTCCACCGGATCTTTATTTATTTGACCCAGCACACCATCTCGCCGGAGCATGGTTAGCCACGTTCCGAGCTCAGCGGTATACGAACGATGAAGCTCAGATCAACTTCCCCGCGCGGATGGGGGGAGATGCCCATCATTGGTATAACACTTACGTATGGGTGGATCTTCCCACATTCGAGCGGGATTTCATGAGCCACTTCGATTATGTTCACCCCGAATAAGCACTCTATATGATCAAAGATCGAGTCCAGAAACCACTCGAATCCATTACCGAGTATCGAAACAGATTCTATCGAATGTTTGTAAAGACTGAGCGGGGCGAGCAGGTAGGCCGGAACCTGTTCATTGACGGACTACGTAACAGAACAATTCGGGGGAAGCTACGTAAAAACTTCTCTCCCATTAATCACACGCTGCAACAAATTATGGACGCTGCAGAAGAGATGGAGTGGAAATTCGCAGCTAGCTTCTTAGAAAATGAGGATTACGGTAGAGAAGGAGACTCGTCCGAACTTGTGAAAGCAAGGGCGGAACTGGCCGCACTACAAAACAAATTTGAAAACATGGGATTCGTAGCTGGACCAGTTATGTATGTAGAACAGGTAACACCGAGGACCGCACCCCATGGAGTGACTATAGACAGGCAGATCCCGGTAATGGCGTCCCCAACCGCAACTCAGCCACCTCCACTGCCACCCACCATCGAGTCACCCGCAAAAACGAGTGAGTCTACTGCTATCTTGGAGCTAACTAAAACATTGGCTAGTCTAATCCAGGAAAGCAAGAAGGAACAGCGAGAGCACAACGCCCGATTAGAAGCTATGATGCGGAATATGCGACCCATTGCGGTGCGAGCACCGATGCAGGGAGGCATGGCTGCTGCCCAAGTGGCAGCGGGGCCAGCCGGGACAGCGACAAATGCCTGTTTTACATGTCATCAACCGGGACACTTGGCTCGAGATTGCCCCCATCGTGCCATGCAGCCTCGATCCGGGATCGCGCCTGCAGCTGCAGCTCCCATAGCTAACGGTCCAGGACGTGTAGGAGCCGTAATGGATGATCAGGGGGGAAGTACGGGAATGATGATTTCCAGTGAGGAAGCAGCTGAGCTTATCCCGCTGGAGCAGTACGTATCACTAGGATACCCGGGGCTAGGAATGATTGGGACAATTCGACTGGAACTCGAGTCCAGAGATGTCGCCGAATGGCGGCCTTCGGTGAGCGAAATGGAGACGGGTGACCCTACCTTTGTCACAGGAGAAATCGATATCCTTGAAGTCACCCGAGCACTGGATCATCGAATCCCTCTCCCAATCGGCCACCTACTCTCCATCTCGGAACAGGCGAACGAACGAATGATGCAGCATTGCAAAGCGAACCGGAAGCGATTCGCCCTTGCACGCGCAAAAGATCAGAAGGCGAAGGCGCCGCCTTCGGAGAAAAAGGTGGACGTCGCCCCTGATCCCATCCGAGTCGGATTAATACAGAAAGACGACCACTTTCTTCGGATCGAGCCGATTCCGTGGAAATCAGCCGAATGTGATATTGAAGTCTGGGGAGTGCCGTATAGTGCGATCATAGATTCGGGAGCGGCTGTCCTAGCGATATCCCTCCGAGTAGTCGAGAGAGCGGATAGGAAGAATGATTTGATTATGCTAACCGAAAAGGACCAGCTCGTATCGGCTGATGAGGAGAAGATCAAGACAGTAGGGCGTATGACGAATGTCGCGTTCCGATTGGGAAAAGTGCATGCTTTAGGAGATGTTGTGGTGCTGGATGTGAATACGTATGACGTCCTATTCGGGCTTCTTGCATTAGTGGCGTTGCGTGCTAATTTGGACTTCGAACGCCGATCCGTCATTCTCCGGAATACCGGGGGAAAGCCGTATGTAGTACCTATGAGACTAACTCTTCGAACGACGGTTAAGGTAGTACCCCAAATTTCTCCGGAAACAATGGGAGCGTTCTGCATGGACTCCTGGAGTGCACCTCTGGACAGAGGCCAATCATCGAACAACGCGGGGAGCGACGACGACGACGATCCGTCGTTACACAGTTATTACGGCAGCGGATTCAATACCCGCTGCCTCGCACTATTGCGCGTACCATGCATCTAGCCACACGGAATGCTCATATGTTGATCATGGGAGAACCCCTCGTACAGATTTCAAAGATGGTTGATTCCTTGGAACCCCCTCGGACCTTGTACGGAGGCGTATCTCCCCTTCTCCTTCAGTATAGTGACAAGCGTTCCTTTTGCGATCTCACTGGCTTACCTCGATCCCTGCTTCAGCCCGCAAAAGAGGTTCAGTTGTTGCGTTTGGGAGCCGAAGCAGGTTCTTTGGAACCCCCTCAGCGAATCGAGGCGAGATCCGATGAATTCGGGATCAAGATTTCGCCCAAAAACGTGCCCTGGCGAGACATCTGTGACGGGATAACCCCCGAAAATCATACAGCGATTAGGGAGGAGGAAGCACAGATGGTGGCCACTGTGTTTTCTTGGAGATCGGATCACTCTTTTATATCTGCACCGCCTGACACTACTCAGCGTATATACACGAAGCAGGTTAACGTTCGGATTTTGGATAAAATGTATGAATTGCATGTGCCCCAGTATGTACTTGATGAGATCCATCGGTTGATCGCTGATATTTTAATAGAATATCGGGGGGCGATTAGCGTGTCCGATGTCGATATTGGATTATCTGTGGTCGTTCAGCATGAGATTCGGATTGGGAATCATTCCCCGATCCACTGCAAGTCGTACCGATACTCGTTGACAGAGCGCAAGACGGTCCTGCGGCGAATCAGGGAATTTGAGGCAAACAGATGGATTGAGCCTGCCACCGGTCCCTGGTCATTCCCAGTTGTGTTGGTTTCTAAAAAGAATGGGTCAGTCCGCACATGCATCGATTATCGAAAGTTAAATGATATCACGATTAAAGATGTGTATCCCCTTCCCCGGATTGATGATCTACTTGATGTGATCGGGTGTGCTAACTACTTTAGCAAGTTCGACATTCGGCATGCGTTTCATCATATCTTGGTGAAAGAAGAAGATCGGCGCAAGACTGCCTTCGTTTTGTTTGAAGACACGTGGCAGTGGGTTCGATGCCCGATGGGAATCTGCAATGCGCCTGCCACGTTTCAGCGGGCGATGAATGTGACTTTTCATAATTTTGTCAATAAGACGCGACTGACTCAGGGGATGATCAACTTCTGTGTCATTGTGTACATGGACGACATTCTGGTGTACTCGGACACGTTTCATGGACACGCGCGGCACATCGAATGGACGTTGGGGGCGCTGAGAGACACAGGTTTCAAGATTGCGCTGGAGAAGAGCGAGTTTTTCCTCCCGGAAATCTCGTTCTTGGGGTATGTGGTGACACGTGGAGGCCTGAGGCCGGACTCTCGAAAAGTCGCGGCGGTCAAGGAGGCCCCGATTCCGACCTCATTGATGCAGGTTCGAGCCTTCTTGGGCCTGGCCTCGTACTACCGGCGGTTCATCAAGGGGTTCGCGACTATATCAAGGCCTCTGACAAACCTGCTGCGAAAAGAACAGCCCCTTCATTGGGATGACGAGTGCGACCAAGCCTTCGGGGCCCTGAAGGATGCTCTCATCACGGCCCCAATTCTGATCCGGCCGGACCCCTCTCGGCAGTTTATTCTCATCACCGACTGGCAGTCGGAGGCTATTTCGGCCATTCTGGCGCAGAAGGGAAACGATGGGAAGGAGCATGTCATTGAGTACGCTTCCCGGACGGTGCCAGACGAGCGACAAAACGATTCCTCGCCACAAGGAGAATGCTATGCGGTAGTTTGGGGTATCGAACACTTCCACCCGTATTTGTACGGTCAGAAGTTTCTGCTCGTCACCGATCATGAACCTCCGTTGACTCTGAAGAAGCTAACCAACTACACGGGCATGATCGGACGATGGGCGGTGCGGTTGCAAGAATATGAGTTTGACATTGTTCATCGAAAAACGGAGAGACACGACAACGCCGACGGACTGACACGTTTGCACCGACCTGGTAAAGTACCAAAAGCGGAAGAGATCACACCGTGGAAGGACCCGGACATCAACAACGGTCCAAAGTATGGAGAAGTTGCGATTATTCCACGTGGCAAGAAGCCGGTGAAGGGCAATGGGTGACGGAGGTAATGTCCCGATTCCCTCTCTTTCTTCCCCATCCTCTTCTTTCGCCTCCCTTCCTGACAAATTTTGCTATTTCTGCGAGTCAATTTCTCGAGTCTATTCCGTTCACATGTGTCCAAAAGGGACGGGATATGTTGAATGGGTAGATTGTCGGAAATGTGTCGCACGTGCTCACGGTGCGTGCATACAGTATCGGAGTAGTGATAGACCCTGGTTCTGTCCCTTATGTCGCACTAACAAGATTCCGACAGAAGCCCGATTCCTCGATGCCACGTCGGAAGGCCCCGACAAAATCCAGAAGTTTAGAAGAGCGGAAGTCTGGACAGATGTCGCCTTAATAGCCACGATGGTAGGCAACTCCCTCGAAACCTTCTCCAAGGAGGATCGGAGGAGGGCCAATGAAAGAGCACAGGATTACCGATGGGTGGATGGACGGTTAGAGAAGCCTAAAACAGACGGCAGTGGAGCATGGTTAGTGGTTCCGCACCCGTTCATGCGGTACGACTGGGTACGAACCGCCCACGAGGAAACGGCGACACATTTTGCCGTGCACATTACCGAGGCTGCGATTGACAGAAACCAATGGTACTGGTCCAATATCCGAGACRATGTTAAATTCATCGTCCAACACTGCCAGGTCTGCGCTGCTGACAAGACCCCAACCCAACCGCCTAGGTCGATAGTCCCAACTGTGGTTGAAAGGCCGTTTCAGAGGGTTAGTATGGATACTACTGATATAGTGGTGCCCCCTGGACCGAATAGTTGCGACTGCTCAATTCTGCTGGTTTTCGTCGACCACTTTTCTAAGTGGATTGAGGCCTACCCCTGCAAGACACGACAAGCCGCAAAAATCACGCGGTACGTCAACCGTTTTCTGGGCATGCACCAGGACACAGAGGAGATCCTGACCGACAATGGGGTCGAATTTAGAGGAGAAGTCGAGAGGAACCTGGTCATACACGGCGTCTCCATACAGCACACGGCCCCACACATGTCCCAGTCTAACGGATTAGTGGAAAACGAGAATAGGGTGATAAAAACGGCCTTGCGGCGGAATATTGCGGCACGAGACCCCCGACCCTGGCCTGATATTGTTGACCACATCTTGGCGGTCCATCGCGGAACACCCCACGAATCGACAGGCCAGAGCCCCTTCCAGCTGCGGACCAATAGTGTCGCGTGTATCGATACCGAGCCTCCCAAACGAATCAGGACTCAACCGACGCCCCACAAGGGCCACCGGTCGGGACAAAGCCAAGAGGCAATTGGAACTCATGGAGCGGTCCCTACCTAGATTGGCTCGGAAGCGCCAACGGTCCACCGAATTGGCCCATGGCCGACAGGTCCGAAGCTACGAAGCCCGGAACGGGAATGCGGGTCCCAGGACCCAATATAAGTTAGGGGACATCGTGCAGGTAAGGAAATGTGCGCGCCAGGGTAAACTAGCGCCACGATTCTTCAGACAGTATCGAGTGATTGAGCTCGGACCCAATGGCGTGGACACCGTGCGCCTCGCCCCCGAGATTTTCGGCAGTCGATCGGCTCGCCCCATCACACGCCACGTGTCCTATCTTTGTCTTCTTCCCTCTGTTCCGTCTTCTTCCCTCTGTTCCATCTCCTTCTCCATCAACCTCTCTCGACGATGATTCTATCTCCTCTACATCTCCTTCTCCTTCTCAATCTCTGTCGGATACGCCGTCACCCTCGCCATCACCATGAGCTTTATGGAGGAGAGAGCTCTAAGTGAAGAAGCACTGGTAGCACGGGGGAGTTCGACACTGTGGCAGGTGCATCATCCTCGTCTTAGTCCGCACCTTCAGCGGGTTGCGCAATTCTTCTGCTCGAAGGGCGCCTACGCGGCAGCAGAGATCCACGTCGATGGGAGGGCTGACGCGATCATATTGGCCGAAGCTGTCGGGTTGCGACAGCGAACAGCTGTGGATGTCGGTCGGATAACGGTGGTGGTTAATTTCAGTGGGGATCTCACGGCGATCCCCCCCATCCGACACACGAGAATCAAGGCGACGCTGCTTCTGTGGGCGCACAATCTTCAGAACGAGTGGACCCAAATCCTGACGCACCAAGGGGACGTGATCACACCAATCCGAGCGATCGAATACAGCGGCCTTCGGCTGGATCGGCGTGACTTGCCGACGCAATTACCCCCTCTCATCCCCTTCCATCCCCGATGAGTTCCTTCCCGATCTCTACTTTCGAGCTTCCTTCTTCCTTCCCCACCTTTTGGCAGTCTGATCTTCATCCCCGCCTCTCCTTCTGCATAGATCCTCTGGTTGTTCCCCTCCTCGATCCCTCTCAGTGGGACGTATGGCGCGGAGACTTCATTGAACTCTCACTGTGTTTGGCGGAAGTACGGGTGACGTGGACGAGGGACGAGAGCAATTATCCGCGGACTGAGCGATTGGAGCTCCTTTTGATTCAGGCGTGGCGGACGGAAGTAGAGGGGGACCTTCTCGGTTTTCTATTCGGGGCAGTACGTCCGGGCTGTCGGAGGCTTCTCACCCAGGAGCTTATGGTCCCGATTGCGCAGCTGGCCGACCATCTTGACGTCAGCATTGTCTCCCAAGTCGACCCGCGCTTGGTGCCCCACATCACTTCGCGCACGCTGTCGCCGTATCTTCAGTGGTCAGCTTGCGTGGAGGGTTTCCCATCAAGAATTCCGTCTTCACGGTTGGATTACTTGGATCCGCGCGACATCGTGGATCCCGCTTTCTACAGGCCGCCGTGCGAAGACGAATTAGAAGAGATACTCCGCGAGGAGCTCACGGAAGAAAGTTCAGAGGAAGAGGAGGAGAATCTGAACGAAGATGAAGGGGAAATGGCACCACACCAAGAAGGAGACGAAGACGAGCTCTTGCAAACGGAGAGCGAAGAGGAAGCAGAAGAAGAAGACAGCGAGCAGGGGAGCGGTGATGACAACGACGAGGAGCAGGCCGACGAGGATCCCCAGCTAGAAATTGCATCGATCGCTGATCTTCCGATCAGCAATGATCCAATGCTTGACCCGGAGCCACCTCAGCCAGACGACGACCATGTGGCCCAGGTGGCTGGGCCGTCCGCTCGCCGGCCTCCTTCCCTACCGCGACGCAGACGACGAAGCCGCTCCCCCTCCGCCTCCCTCTCCCTCGCGGCCTGTCCCCCACTTCGAGCACGCCGAGATGAGGCCGATCGGTCTTCGTCCTCGGGCTCTCTCTCTCCGCCCCCATGACTTCCTCACCCTGCGCCAGCTCACCCGTCCCGCCGTCTTCCCCCACAATCCCTTCCCCCGCGACACTTTTCATCATCACTTCTCCATCTGTCTCTCTGTCACAGTCCATCCCCACTCATCCTCCCGACGTGCTTCCCCCGAGTTCCCTCTCCATGTACTTCTCTTCAGCATTGGATGGCGTCGTATTAACGCGTAGAGGTTTATTGCCTCATCACGGGGTTAATCCCCGCCTGCGCCGACCGCGATCGCTTTCGCGCAACGCTTCTTAGAACCTTCACCACTCTCTATCCCGACAACCTCGCTTCTCTCCCCACTACTGGCCGCCGATTCCCTCGCTTCCATAGAATCGTCCATCATCGGAGCCTTCCGGAAACGGACGATGAGCTGGAACGCTTCTTCCCGCCTATCCCGGCTCATCCCCCATCAACACCTCCACCTGCCTATCATCTTCCTTTTCCTCTTCCCCACGAGTAACGACAACTAGGATACGACTGCTGCGCAGCATGACGTCCACACTCGTTCGCACGGTATGCGGCAGAAAAGAAGATCAACCCTCCACGGCCAGTCAATCAAAGAGGAGCGACACGTCAGCTAGCAAGCAGGAGGTTGCTTATCTTTGGAACCCCCTAGGCRTCACATATGTGACGAACTAGCTTCTGTAATGCGCGACTTTCGGCGCGAAGTGCTGAGCGGGGTCCCATATCAATTAGATGGGTTGATGGAAAATTGCATGTGTGTCCTTGCTCTTTTTTTGTTTCTTCGTTCTCGCACGAGCCCCTGATGACAGTTGGGGACAATTCGGGAATACCAGGGGAAAAGGGGGCAAAACTTGGTTGGATGTGGAGTGCGCGCCGAGTGCGCGATTAATAAACGTTGACGTCTCTTCTTTTCTTTCGTTTCCCTTCTTTTCTTTCAATTTGATTTTGTCGAACTTTTGGGCGCGCAAACATCGCGCGGGAATTTCGGTGTCTCTTTTTGAATTTTTTTTCGAATCTTGGTCGGAGCCATACGGCCTTCGGAATTTACATTTTCTTTTCGGACCTTTTCGCCAGGCTAGCTAGGAATTTAGGAATTTTGGAATTCCTGCTTTTCGGGGCGCTGCTCTGCATGCTCGCGCGCTCTTTCTTGCTGTTGCGTCGGAACCTTGATTGATTGGCGCCTTAATCCTTTTGCAACTGTAATTTTTGGCGCACACTTTTGTAACTGTATCTTTCTGTTTCTTGCTTCTTCTTCTTCCCGCCTCGTTTCTTTCTTCCCCCCACCCTGCCTACATCGAGTAGCCGCGGTTGCATGTTCGGATCGATGCGTGGAGTGGGTACGTCCCCCAAGCCGCGGCCCGGCCATGCAAACGTAGGCACTCCCTTTCCCCCATCTATCTAYGTCCTTGTAATTCCGTGTTCTTCRCGCATGCACRCACGCTATAAATTCCGGCTGCGCGATTAACTTGCTCTCTTAGAAAACTGGAAGCTCGGGGTTGCGCGATGTGAKATCGGCACACGAGCGAGGTAAGAGGTGAGCAGAGGCGGAGTTGGGCGATCCGACGAGCTGACGCCGAATGCGCGGGGTTGACGTGGGCCACGACGGACTGTGGGCACGGGCGAACCTGACGGGTGCAGGAGGGTTAAGCGGGGTGACAGCTTCGCAGGTTGGTGCGTGACGACGGACTGTCCACATCGGGGAGAGAGAGAGAGAGAGAGAGAGAGAGAGAGAGAGAGAGAGAGAGAGAGAGAGAGAGAGAGAGAGAGAGAGAGAGAGAGAGATTTGGTTGTGTGGACATGGGTTTGCAGTTTCTTATCTCTTCCCCTTTCTTTTGTGTACATAAATTTTGACTGGGTGATTGCCCCCTATCCTTTGATTCGATATCTCTGTTTTGGTTTTCGCCTAAATTGGCGCATCCTGCATTTCCTTTTCTTTTTATTGCCTTTTTGTCGACACGGATGAATGGATGGAATGCGCATCGTTTCCTCTCGCCCCTGACTAATGTATGGGATTAGTTGCTCACAACCTCGTGAAGTTTTGATTGCATCGTGATGTGTAGACGGAACGAGTTGCCCGCTATCATTAGGCTGGATGTATGTGCAGATTGTCTGTTTGAGTTCGTAATGGACGTCATCATCCCGGCCCAAAAATTACGTCGAGCATACCCGAGAACCCATTAATGAAAATCGCACGCAACGATGACACGGTCCTCAGGCTCTAGCTCATCTTGGGATAGGGAATACTTTGAGCCCTGGATTCAGGAATCCTGCCGGGAGTACTATTGCACGCGAGGAGCGTATCCGGAATTCCCGAATTACACGAGAAACCAAGTGTGCGAGCGGGAATTCCACCACGCGATAACCAACGATCCGCGCGGAGCAGACTATCCCGAACCGGATTACACACAATATTACACCTCTCCCGGATTCGTGGTTGTCGTCACTAATTACCCTCCCTTCCGTGTTCTCCTCCCATATCACCAGCTCACAGTGGTGCCCTGGCGGGTCATAGCCGCGTATTGGCCTGAACCGTGCAGAGAGTGTTTACTCAGGCGCCACCCACGTGCTCCTCGCTTTGACCAGCGCGCCTATAACCCGCAGCGTGGCCAACGATCGGCCCCCTTTCGAGTCCCCAGGCAGGACGCGCGGCAGTCCCTCGCACCCCGGTGATCCCCATCAAACCCGAAGCGGTGAGATAGGCGGTAATTGTGTGCTTGCCCTGCTCTACTGCAGTATTGCACCCACGACCCTCGAACTCGGCCACAGAAGATCCCAGTTCCGACCTGGGACTTCAACCCCCACTTTCCCAAAAATCCTTGGCACACCCCTCTTCGCACTTCCAGGCCCCCATCCCACTCCGATCAGGAAGTCGCGCCGCGTGTGAGGTTTGGGCGTCACAATGGAGTCATGAGACCTGAAAGTAGGAGCACGGGAGGAAGAGGGAGGGGGTGAAGGACCAGGGTGCAGATTTCTTCTCCGAAGCAGGGCACATATTCCTATTTCACATGTCTCCTCTACTTCCATGCCCTCAACCGACTCGACAAACAGGATGGGTGCAAGAGCCTGGTGGAAGGGATGATGGACAATTCCCATATATGCATGTCTTCAGGTAAGACTACGGATAAAGATCATAAGCCCTAGGTCATTTTAGTGTCAGTTGCACAACCCAATGTCTTGATGTTCGAGACGGGAGCGATAGGCTCCTATGGTTCTTTTCAGCCATGATAAGATTCGACCCTTGCTTCATGCGGAGGAGCTAGCCTCAGCTAGGTATCGAGGTTGGATGTGAGTCTAGTCTGTGTTTGGAGAGGAAGGCGGCAGGTGGGATTGCAACCCATAGGACCACATCAAGACCCTTGTGGGGGTTGACCCACCGATTGCGGGAGCTCTGTCGGAGCTCAGGCAGGGAACTCAGAGGTAGACCGACACGATACCATTAGCATCCCAATAAACCCCTATCTATACAAACCTGGTTCTTTTGTCTGTTTGACTTTGACTTGTGTACATATTTGTCTTATTTTTCAGGACTTTAACTGAATCAAAAGGGTAATCTACTATGCATGTTTAAGTATCTGTCTTTGGTAAAAATCACGATTTTCGCATGCGATGATCTAAAATGGGGCTGGAGATGAGGTCCTCCTGACTGATCCGGTCGCTTTGCTTATTTGCTTAAGACATTGAAATGGGGTTGGAGATGAGGTCCTCCAGACTGATCCGGTCACTTTGCTCATTTCCTTAAGACATTGAAATGAGGCTGGAGATGAGGTCCTCCTGACTGATCCAGTCGCTTTGCTCGTTTGCTTAAGACATTGAAATAGGGTTGGAGATGAGGTCCTTCCGACTGATCCGGTTGCTTGCCTAGTAAGCGCAAGTCGTCAGCTCGCGCTGATTACGTCCCTGCCCTTTGTACACACCGCCCGTCGCTCCTACCGATTGAATGGTCCGGTGAAGTGTCTGGATTGCGGTGATCTCGGCGGTTTGCCGCTGGGGGTGCTGTGAGAAGTTCATTGAACCTTATCATTTAGCGGAAGGAAAACTTCAAGTCATAACAAGGTTTCCGTAGGTGAACCTGCGGAAGGATGATGGACACGTGAACGACCGATCTTCGGGGTGTGGGACGCTGGCGTGCTCTCCCTTTCGTCGCCCTTTGCCCCCATCCTCCCAACATCCGTTTTTCTTTTCTGGTTCATCACCATCTTGGGCTTAATGTCCAACAGGCGGCTGTCCCAGCGCAGAGGGGGCGTGGTGTGGGTCGAGGGTGGGGGGAGTGGGGAGGGTCCGGAGCCTTGTGGCATTGCTCCCTCTTCATCTCGTCTCGCCTCCGCAGGTTGTTACCTCGGCCCATCCCCATTCTTGACTTTTTGTCGGGATGGCGGTTGGTCCGCGGACGAACAACCCTGTAGGAGGGTCAGGCGCGGGATGTCGGGTGGTGGCGGCTGTCCTGTCCAAACCTTCTTTCCATTCAACCTTAACATCGGCTTCGTGCCGAGCTTGTGGCTTGTTTGGGGATCAAGGGTCATGGTAGAGGCTAGGGGCAGGGTGTGTTGCGGGGTCCTCGGCCCCTACCCGTCTCATCCTCGCTTCCAATGGGGTTCTCCTTTCCAAACACATGGGCGTCCTCGACACAGTCGAGCTGGTCCGGATCTCGGCGAGGAGGGCCGTTGGGGGAGGGTTTTGGTCGTGAACGGGGTGGTGTCGGGCGGGAGGGGAGGAGACAACACTGGCACCCTCGTTGCCCCGCTGCTTCCCGGTGCCCTGCCTACCCCCCAGACAGGGGATCGGACGGGCCCGTGTCAGCGGCGGTAGCGTATGGAAGCACCACATCCAATTCTGGCACTCATAGTTACTCCATCGCATGACACGACGTAGACAGATGTCACAGGCTACATGGCTCCTACTAGCTAGGAACACAGAGGCACGTTGACTGCAATTATAGAGGCATTGTCGTTCCAACCCCTGTCTACGAATTGGACATGACATGTTAGGGTGTCGTACATGAGTACAATACAGACTGTTGCCGTATGTATGGAAGCAAAACTCGCGTGGACTATCCCTTCATAATCTTCACGGCACAAGGCATGCGAACCGCATGCTAGTTGAATCTCTTGCGGGTCATCACAAAGCGACATGGAACATTTTTTTGAGACTTCCTCGGTATTTATTCCTTCTCTGTGGGCAGACGATAACAGGAAGGATCGCTTGGAGTGAGAGGAGCAGAACCACTGTCAGTCTAGAGGCTTGGAGCTATGAATCCCCCGCGGTAGCGGTCGCCACGGGCACGACCGCAGACCACGGTCTCGACCGCGGTCCGCAGTGATTAAAAAAAAAAAAAAAAAAAAAAAAAAAAAAAAACCACTGAAAACATTCTACGTTATGCCGAAACATAAACTGAATAACTTTTGCCTTGGGGTCATATCAAAATTCGTTACCAAATTTGAGATAAAAAACAAACAAAATCCTTTATTTTTCTTACTAAAAGAATACAGTGAAGAACTTTTGCATGAAGGATTTCTGTTTTTCTTTTTTTTTTTAATAAAAAAAAGTCAAAAAATCAAACTAAAAATATACAGTTGTGGAGCGCACAAAAACCTACAACCCCGTATATTTTATTTTGGTTTTTGCCTATTATCATAAGAGTTAAAAATGTCGGGGTTTTCCGATCGCACTCGGCCTTGGGCGGTCGGCCGCCGCGGGCGGGATCCCGACGGCGGGCGGTAAAATGGCCCGCGGTCGCGACTGCGGGTGATACATTGACTTGGAGGAGGTCGTAGGCTAGTGCGGGAGGCTAGTAAGGCTGGTAGAGGTAGTGCTGGCCCAAGGGAGTGATCCGCCATAGTCCCCAGGCTGTGAGAGAGAGAAAAAGGCTAGAGGGGGTCCACTTAGCCCTCCTTCAGAGGACTCCATAGCCTTTGCAGCGGACCTCTGGTTGGCCTGTGAGACCATCCCCTTGGCCTGTTCCCACAAACCTGTGTTGTATTTGGGGTAGTCCAGTCCAAGCCGGTACATCTGTCAGTACCAACCAGTCCAGTCCAGTCCATTTCGTCCGTTGGGGAATGCCCCAGCCAGAGTCTCTACTTGGGATCATTCTACATTCACACAGTTTGGAGTACGTGCGTTGGAGTCTAGCGTGGGAGCACTGTGTTATCTTTCTCCACCCTTATCCTCCATCTCCATCTCTATCCTAGGCGGAGCACCTCACCCGATGGGTCCGCCACACTGGTATCAGAGCGGGAACAATCCCCGCTCGCACCCAGCACACCGCACAACGGGAGAATACGGTGTAAGCCCGAAAGCGGTTTTTTTTGCTGTTTTTCGGCCGTTTTCAAAGAAAAACAGCGGGGAAAAATGACGAAAGGTGTAGCAGCAAGGGGGTGACACGTGGCGAGAAAAAAGAAATGTTGGACATGATGCCACGTGGCGAGAAAAAAAAGAGGTCGGACATGACGGGTCCGCGCAAGCGGGAAGGCCAAGGCCGCTGCACACGCACACGCATGCGCCATGTGCCCATGCTACCCCGGCCCGCCCCGCTCCCGGATTAGCTATATTAAGATTCGGAATGCATGCTGCTGCCAGGTTTTGAACCTAGCCAGTTGTTGGCCATATGCGTGCGTAGCTGGTGCTGTAACACACTGACCAAAGTGTTTGTATGGCTTAGTAGTGCGGCACGCTGGTGTTGAAGAAGTATTGTGCCAGCTATTTACCCC